TGTGTGTGTGTGTGTGTGTGTGTGTGTGTGTGTGTGTGTGTGTGTGTGTGTGTAGGGGGAGGTTAGAGATGAAAGTAAAAAACAAACTGAAGCTCAGGTACGTACGGGGGGCGAGGGGGCCCTGGACGCCTCCTAAGACTCCGAGTCGAGCAGACATCAAACCCAGACCCAGGTAGCTGCAGGGAGCAGGAGGAGTCATTGATTATGGATCAGAACTTGAAGCAGAACCAGACGGACCGGTCCAATCTGAGCAGTGTGTGCACCTGTGAGTGTAGACGGTGTGTGTGGTGTTGAACATCTGGACGGATCGGATGAAGTCCACCAGTGAAGTCTGGACGGTTTTCTGCTCACAAACGAAACAGCAAACATCAAAGGGGTTATATTTGCCCTGAGTTCAGACTCTCAGGCTCTGAGCGGCAAAGGGCAGGGGTCCTAACAGTGACTGTCTTGTCAGTCCTACACCCGTCCTGTGTCTGGTCATGTGATGAGAAGTGTGCAGGTGTAACTACAGGTGTTCATGGAAACATCTTGTATCATTAGGTTTGAGTCACCATCATGTTCTCCTGGAGAAGGAGAGCCTGTAGATGATGTCAGACAAACCAAAGAAATGTCAGTGTTCCAGTGTGGGTCCAGATGGACCCGGACCCAGAACATCTGCAAACATCAGGAAAACGTTTTTATCTATATAAACCAAGTTTATCTGTTCATGTGTGTAAAAGGTTGTGTTAGCTGTGTGTGCCTGCTGTCAGAAAGACAACAAGAAGGATCCATGGTTCTCCTCTGAGAAAAAAAGAATCAGTAAAACCTGTAAACTGGTTCCAAACGTGGTGTTCAAAACATCTCAGCTGTCCATCTGACTCCTCCGTTTGTTTAAGACATCAGAACCCTGCAATAATACTGCAGAGCCAGACGAGGGAGGTCAGAAAATCTGGATCATGAAATCCTAAACCATGATACTACCACCACCATGTTTCACAGATGGGATACGGTTCTTATGCCGAAATGCAGTTTTCCTTTCTCCAAACATAACTCTTCATTTCAACCAAAAAGTTCTATTTTGGTCTCATCGTCCACAAAATATTCTTTCAGTAAACTTCTGGTTTGTCCACGTGATCTTTATCAAACTGTAGACGAGCAGCAATGTTCTTTTTGGAGAACAGTGGCTTCTCCTTCAACCCTGCCATGAACCATTGTTGTTCAGTTCTCCTGATGGTGGACTCATGAACATCAACATCAGTCAATGTGAGAGAGGCCTTCAGTTGTTAGAAGTTACCCTGGAGACCTTTGTGTCCTTGCCCATTATTCCACACCTTGCTCTTGGAGTGATCTTTAGTCCACCACTCCTGGGGAGGGTAACGATGCTCTTAAATTTCCTCCATTTAAACACAATCTGTGTGACTGTGGATTGGTGGAGTCCAAACTCTTTACAGATGTTTTGTAACATTTTCCAGCTCTTTTTCTGAGCTCCTTAGAAATCTTGTTTGTTCCTTTCATGATCCACTTCCACCAACATGTTGTAAAGATCAGACTTTGATAGATCCTGTTCTTTAAATCAAACAGGGTGTCCACTCACACCTGATCATCATCCATTGATTGAAAACAGCTGACTCTAATTTCATCTTCAGATTAACTGCTAATCATAAAGGTTCACATACTTTTACCGTCACAAATATGTAATATTGGATCATTTTGCTCAATCAGTAAATGATCAAGTGTAATATTTAGTCTCATTTGTTTAACTGGGTTCTCTTGATCTACTTTTAGGACTTATGATCTAAAACATCAGATTTTCACACAACTATTCAGAAATATAGAAAATTACAAAGGCTTCACAAACTTTCAAGCACCACAGTATGTTCGTGTTCTTTATGTTATTTATATTATGTTCTATGTTCCTCATGTTCTCTGTTCCTCAGTGAGTGTGTGGTGCTGTTGATAAGCAAATGAAGTGAAACGTCCAGGCAGACACGATGGTAGAAGTCCAGTTCAGGTCTGAGAAGTTATGCTCATTTGTTTGACTCTCAGATGCAGCACATGAAGAAGAGGACGAGCATCTTCCTCTCCTCCCACCCGACCCAAAAAACCCCCCCCCCCCCCCCCCCCCCCCCCAATAGCTGATGTGAATGTGTTTGTTTGGGATTAATGCTGCATTTTCAGATTACAGCCTCTAAAATGGAGCCACCCAGGCAGTTCAAAGAGCAAGAGGAGAGAATCTCCTCCTCTTCATCACCTCACCTCATCGCGGGGGCTGAAGGTGATTTGAGTCGACCCCCCTCCCAGATCCAGCATTCCAACAGTGGGCATGTCTGCTCTGTGAAGACCACCTGAAAGGAGAGGAGGGAGGAAACAGGAAGTGCTGCAGGATAATCCTATAAAACAGCAAATGACTGGTTCTGATCCAATCAGCGCCAGAACAAGGACAGAACAAGTCCTCCCTGCTCAGATCCAGACATTAAATGTCACGTGTCAAACTCGTCTTTCTTCACAGAAACGGACTTTGTTCCTAAAGCAGTGAGGATGTTGAACCTGTTCTGGACCAGGTCCAGTCCAGTAACAATGACTTAAGATAAGGAAGGTTTTCACCTGTAGTCCAGGTGTTACAGGTTAGGGGTGTGTTTGTGTCTGACCTGTGAGGACGTTGATGGTGATCCAAGCAGAAATCCCTAAAGAGGAAGAAACATTGAACACTGATAAGTTTAATCAATTAGACCTTATTAATCAAACATAATCAATTAGACCTTATTAACTACTCATAAGCAATTCGACCTTATTAAACCATTACCACCTAAAAAAAATTGACCACCTAAAAAAAAAAGTGTCAGAGTTGAACCGGCAACCTTCCGATCACAGGCTCATATCTAATCTCTGCGCCACCACTCCCCCAGCGACACGCTCGTAATAAAAGGGTTAATTAAACCTCATTAAAACAGAAAAGTTCAAACTTTTGAGTTTTAATATTTTAAAAGAGTGCCTGAGTCTGTGTCAATCCAACAACAAAGTTTAATAATGGAATAAAAACATACGGACATTAGAAAATGTCACTCTGAACGTTTCATCTGTTCAGTCTAACTCAAAAGAACTGAACCGATGCTTCAGATGAATGTTTTAGAGTTTCTGCTGTGATAAGAACCAGCACAATTTTTAGATCTAAAACCAAAAACACTGAAACCTTCAGAAGGACACGTTGGACTTCTGGATCGCAGTCAACCTGTCCACCACCATCATCTGTCAGAAGACTTCAGGGACAAAAAGGCAGATCTGCATAAGACGGGCATAGACTGCAAAACCATCAGCAAGATGTTTGGTGGGGAAGTGACAACTTTTGGAGTCTTTATTGAGAAATGGAAAAAATACAAAACAAACATCAGTCACCCCAAGTCTGGGACTCTATGAAGGATCTTCATGTGGTGAGGATGATGATGAGGTGAGGGATCAGCCCAAAGCCACACAAGAGGAGCTTAGTAATTATGATTGGACCATGGTCATTAAGAACCATATCTGTACCAGACTACATTGTGATGCACTGACGGCCCCCCTGATAAAGGAGGTCCCTGTACAGAACAACCTTTTGAGGATCCCCTGCTAAATCTGATCCAGGTGCACACACATCTTCAGAAGGCCATCTGCTGAAGACTGCCCAGACAGAAGCCCGTCTTCTTCTGGTCCTCCTGCTGAAGAAGGTCGAAATACAGAACTGTCTTCAGAAGATCTCCCTGATGAAGGCAGCACAGGTATCACCATCTTGAAAATATCTCTCTGATGAAAAAGGCACAGGCACTGACCTGTCTTAAGTTAACCAGAGAACATTAAAACGATTCAGAGAAGGTCTAGGGAAAAAGTTCTAGGATTAGATGAGATCGAAATACAGTCATTGGCATCAACTTCACTTGTCAGGTTCAAAGGATGACAGAAGGTGTATTTCACCTAAAGAACACAACTCCCACAGTCGAGCATGGCGGTGGAAACATTATACACTGCCTGGCCAAAAAAAGTTGCCACCTGGATTTAACTAAGCAAATGGGTACGAGCCTCCTATTGGATAATTACTGCATGGGTGATTGTCTTTCAGCTGCAACATGTTATTTAACCCCAGCTGGTGCAATGAGTTGCTTCTCATTTCTTCAACAACCATGTTGAAAGACACATCGTGTGGTCGTGGAAAATATGTCAGTCTGTTTGAGAAGGGTCAAATCATTGGCATTAAGCAGAGAAAACATCTAAGGAGATTGCAGAAACTACTAAAACTGGGTTAAGAACTGTCCAACACATTATTAAAAACTGGAAAGATAGTGGGGACCATTGTCTTTGAGGAAGAAATGTGGCTGGAAAAAAATTCTGAATGATCCTGATCAGCGATCACTTAAAATATTTGGTGAAATCAAATCAAAGAAAAAACAACAGTAGCACTCGGGGCTATGTTTAATAGTTAAAGTAAGATCATTTCCACACGCACAATGTGAAGAGAACTCAAGAGATTGGACTGAGCAGCTGTGTACCCTTAAGAAAACCACTAATCAGTGAGGCTAACTGGAAAAAAAGGCTTCAATTTGCTAGGGAGCTTAAAGATTGGACTCTGGAGCAATGGAAGAAGGTCATGAGGCAGGTGAAGTGATGCACCAATCATGCCTTGTGCCTACTGTACAAGCCTGTGGGGGCGGTGCTATGATCTGGGGTTGCTGCAGTTGATGGTCCAACAAAGTATTAGTGTGTGACCTTTTTTATGGCAGCAACTTTTTTTTGGCCAGGCAGTGTAGTTTGAGGATGTTTTTCTGCCCAGGCTAAGATGACTTCCCTGCATCAAAGGACTAAAAGCATGGTCAAATACTGTAAGAACTCTAACCAGAACCTTCCTTCTTTTGTCAGGACACTGAGTGTGTCAAAAGTGTCAAGGACGGGTCTTCCAGAAAAGCATTGAATCAAAACATACAACCAACTCAACAAAGAAGCAGCTAAAGAAAAAGCACATTGAGTTGAGCTAGTCTCCAGACTTCAGTCCTGTAGAAAATCTGTGGAGCTGAAGCATCAAGTTTCCAATAAGAGGAATGTGCCAAAATCCCTTCAGATATGTCTTCAGAACTGGAGACTAAGCAAACATTTCTCCACCGAGTAAATGGACTGTACTTATATAGCACCTTTCTATCTCATCAAGATACACAAAGTGCTTTACACTACAATCTGTGTCCTCATGTACCCATTCATACAGCATTTTACTAGATCTATACAAAGCTAATTGAACAATGAGACTAACCAGTGCTTTTGTAGATCACATTCATACACCAATGGGACACACATCAGAGGCAATGCAGGTTCAGTGTCTTGCCCAGGGACACTTCGGCATGTGACTGCTGGTGGATTTGAACCCCCAACTCTTGCATTGGAGGAAGACTGTTCTAACCAATCAGCCACAGCCGCCCGAGTACTGTCCTTCTCTGCTAGGGGATCTATTAATTCTTTTAAAGTCCACATGAGACTACCTGTGACCAGCTGAACATCTATTTCCAGCAGCTAAAATGATGGTCAGCTGCTGTGGACTTGTCCCATACCCAACATCCTGAGTTTTGCAATGTCTCTGTTTATGCGTCGGATCAGGACTCACATGTAGGTCCTGTGTTTGAAATGCTCACCCGGTACAAACATGAAGCTGGCCAGAATATAATCCAATCCTTTTAAAGTAGTTCATACAAGCAATTATGGCCATGTGGGATAATGTCCCACTTAATCTTTAGAGGGGAGGGGGCCGATTATCCATTCGTTTTTTCTCTGAGGCTGAAATGTTTTCTCCTTTTCCCTGAGTAGGATCAACTCGTTACAAGCATAGATGGACTTTAATGATTAATGAATTATCTCTTTAGGCCGGTCCACTTCTCCTCCTGTCAGATCTCCGTTAATGGACCCATTCCTTGTGTTCCAGATGAACGGTTAACTCTTCAGACTCCATCAGTCTTATTATCGTGCAGATATGTCACTGTTGTTGTAGAGATGTTTATCCCTCACTCAGATGACCCTCTGCTGGCCTGGATGGAAGCGACTTATTGTTAATGGAGACCTGAGAGGCTACTGGGAGCCCAAAGTGTCAGGGTTCGGCTCCTCCACCCAAAGCCCAGCCTCTCCATACTTCTGTATTTTGTTGGAAAATTGCTTCTTAGCATCTTTGCTTAAGAGTTTTATGGTAAAGCTTCTATGATACAGTTTCTACCAAGCACTTAAGCATCCACTAGTGTATGCATGCAGGGTCAGAGGTCACAGATAAAAGGCTCTAATGCTCGCAGCTGAGAGCAAATATTCTGCTACAAACTCTAATGTCGTCTTTGAGATGACCTGGAAAAGGAAAGCCTTCAATTCTCTCATCGCACAGATCGACCAGAACATTATTAGTTCTACAGCTGCTGCTTTTCATTTACTCCCTGCTGCTGGGTTACAACACATGTTATTAACACTGTTATTAACACTGCAATAACATATTTAATGCAATAACATATTTAATTACACTGTTATTAACACTGTTATTAACACAATTATTAACACTTCAATAACACCTTTAATTACACTGCTATTATTAACTCCATTATCAACGCCGTTATCAACGCTGTTAACACATCAATAATGCCGTTATTAATGCTGTTATGTTGTTATTAACACCATAATTGAGTTACTAACAGTGTTATCAACACTGTTAACACATTAACACCATTATTAAAATCATTATTAACATTGTTATTAACAGTAATCCACACTGTTAACACATAAGCAACACTATTATTAACAAATTATTAACACTGTTTAAGGAGAATGGATGTTTGTGTGGTTAGAGTTATCAAATTGTGTTTGTAGCTGAAGATCAGACCACATTTTGAATAAAGCAGAAGTTCTGCTCCTTAAACAGATGTTTTTTTCTTCTTTTCTATTTGTTATATAAATGTCTATATTTTCTATTTATGTAGCTTGGTTTAAATTTATTCATTAAAAATAAGTTATGATATATATATATATATATATATATATATATATATATATAT